CTTTATCTTATTAGTGCACTAAATTTGATCTCATTGGTACAATATAAATACTCTCTCTCTCTCTCTCTCTCTCTCTCTCTCTCTCTCTCTCATAGTTGCACAGGGTTTTACAATGAGGCAACTCACTTCTCCTAGCACTGTTTTGCACAAGCATTCTTGATGGTGCATAAGAGCACCCCAATATGAAATACCTCACAACAATGTTATCTAATTACTCATCTCTCGATAGTAGCAACACTGTGCCAGACTAAGGCCCAGGAGAGGTTCAGAAGGTTCAGATTTAGAACATCTCACTAGAAACTCAGGCTCAGGAGAGGTTCAGAAGGTTCAGATTTAGAACATCTTGGACCTATAAAAGTTGTGCATACACAATCCAAAGTTCCAAAACCTAGGGTTTGTCCGTTCATTTTTAATTTCCTACTTCTGTGGAACCCATGAAATTTTTAACAAATAATAGTCTCTAGGAGTGGTTGCTCCATAAAGGTCCCCGGCATTCTAAAAACTGTCAAATTACAAAAATATCCCTGCACGGGCCGTTACAACTATGGTTGCATAGATCATAGGGCCATCAGAGAAATCATAAACAGCAGACAGTACCAGTGAACTTTTTAATCGGAAAAGCCAGATGATTACATGTGCTCCCGGTAGCAGATCGTACTTCTCACATTCATTCCCTCGGGTAAAACCCTATCTAACGATATTTTGTTGACCTAAATTTTGGCGACGCAACTTCCTTAACCTAGCACCAACCTTGACCTAAACAAATAAATAAATAATAAAATCAACATATTAACCTCAAACTGAAAAAATATAAAACCCTAAATATTCAATGTGTCAAGAGAAAATATCATCTTGAGATTGATCAGAGGCTGTCCAATTTTCGGATGGTCAGATCTAAGTGTTTTTAAACTGGACATCTATTTTCTTTTTTGAAAATACCAATATGTTGATTCTAAAGTGGATCCCAAAATTTCATCATGGAATAATCTATTAACTAGATTTTTTGCCCATGGGAGTATGTGTATAGGTGCACCATAGGAGTACAAAACTCGCACTCATTAGAAAACTTCCGAATTTTATTTATAGTCATCTAAACTATTAAATTTAGTGATTGACACAACATTTTGAAGGAGCAGGCTTCAGGAACGTACCTTGTGCCTTGGCTAAGTCTCCTGCCCCAGAGCTCAACTTACTCGAGGGTGAAAATGGCTCGGTAAAGAGCATGTAGGTCAGTCTTTCTCGAGGGGAGAAACATTTGGTGGGGTTGCTTATTCCCCTTTGCTTGCAAACCGCAGTTGTTGTCTGAAAAACACATCAGAGACTCGGATTTTTCAAATTTTCTAAAAATAGAAAAAAAATTCAAAGAAATCAGCTCAGTTTGAGCAGGATGGTTCCAAATCTTCATGGAACTTCAAGGGAGGTTATAGGAACAGCTTCTAGGCCACCCATGATTTGCCTCATATCATCAATTTTGGAGGAATATCCAGAAATCTAGATACATGAGCTGATCGTCATGATTCAATGTTATTATGTAGTTTATTCTCACACACACAACTAAACAATAATTGAATAGCACATAATATCGAATCAATAACTATTCAACATATACACTCACTAACCAAGGTTTGCGACTTGGAGATTATTTCAGTGACATTCTCTATTTTATTAAACATACATTCCTCGGGAATCATATATTCCTCTAATAATTCGTTTCTTCACATAAAGTGGCATGCTCTAGACTCGTACCAAGTCTGCATGTTTCGAGTGTTCAAGAGGACTGAGCAACTCAAGTAAGTCTCAATTTGAAAGCCCAAGTTTCTAAACGCGGCTGATATTCAAGACTGTCTAAAAAGCCCTTATATTATTGGGAGCTTTATATGAACCATATAAGACCCCCAAGAAAAAAGCCATTCTTCGTGTCTTCTTTACATTAAGAACTCGTATTGCACTGGTTGCATCTATAATATTTCATTTTTACACTAGATTATGTCTCCTCAAAGACTGGGGAACCCCCTTAAATGAGTTCCAAATCATAAACATAGTATGCTTGAAGGAGAAAATGTGCCATGGTAAACTAAATTACATACACTGCCCTTGTTTCAAAAGTTTACCAAGACCGAGTTCTTCAACCTAATATAACTCCTGGATCAATCTAAGCAGTCAACCTGCATGCTTTGACACGTAAATCTATAATTGAAGAACTCATCATCGTCATCGTCAAAGCTTTTTCCCAACTAATTGGTGTCAATGCCCGCACAACCCAAAACTAATGAATTAAGCCCATGGAGAGGTTACTAAACCCATTCATTTATCAAGATACATAAAAATAGCTGATCAGTTCAAGAGAAAAGTAAAACATGTTTCTTCACACTCATAAGGAAACAGATTAAGGACGATTGGAGTGTTAGAGTTCAATATATTAGATGTACCCATTTGAAAGCATCTTTTGGAAGTTGAAGATGCATTCCCTGGTCCAGTACACATACATAAGAAGGCAAAAATTGTCAGTTCTTTGAATTCAAAATACACATGCTTAATATTTCTAACAAAAGCATATGCAAACTACAATGTTCAGAAGGAAAGGAAAGCCGTAAAAATCAGAGAAAAATGGGTCCGTGAGCACCAAAATGCAACTACGGAGGGACAAAACCAATAATGACAACTATTTTAAAAAAAAATCAACTATTTCCAACATCAACAAGAGAACAATGGTAGGACCAAATAGACCACTTGGTGATGATAATATTAATGTTTTGAAACTATCTCAGAACTATCATGATATCTCGCCAAGAATATTCTCAAATGTTATAATATAGTGACACTTTTCTCCCATTTCCTTTCAAATTGCTCGCTTCATTTTGTTTTCAATGCATGATTATTTTGGAGTGTAGCACCTCTTTAATTTATTTTTCTTCACTGTAAGTTGGAAAAGGTTAGCATAGGGCCGCTGCACAATATCGCAGGATATTGCAGTTCCATTGCCTGAAAATCATCAAACTGCTCATCTCAACCTCGTCATTTATGAATCTGGAAGAAAAAATATGGATTTCAAGCCAAAAATATTGTATCTTGCAGTACATCATCTGGACTGTCATTTCAAGTGGACACAGATCCACCAGATCCGCACCATTATTGAAGGCTCAAATGTTATAATCAGGGGCAGAAAATAGATCTTCAGGCCATTAACCGCAGCTGCATTTTCCAATTTTTGGAGGTAAGGCTTTACTTTTTATCATGAAGCCTAGGCCTTAAGCTAACCACAGCCATACAATTTTAAAAAGAACTATAAAGTGTAAAGAGGTGCGTGTTACGTGTCACGATGGGGACATGCTTAAGTGTCACGATGGGGACATGCACAGTCCATTTCCAGTGATGGCAGTTGGTTATTAATCACAACCTAGTGAATGTTTGTGTTGTGAAACAAAAACTAATCTCCACTATCTATCATCCAAAGTGGATGATAAATGTTCTGTGTGTTACTATAAATTAAAAATATAAAAACAGGTCATGAAAAAGAAATAGGAAAGTTTTAATTTTTCAAATTTCCATATTTCTTTTTTTTTTTCCGTTTCTAGGAATCTTACCCAACGTTAAAGACCATTTACTAAGAACAAAAATTTTGTATACCAAGAATTACCCAGTCACAAAAATACCCAGTGGCAAGATTTATTACTACGCCACCAAAGAGAAAAGATTTGTCCCCGTATTTGGCCAAATGAACCAGAAATTTTCCCCTCATCATGATGGTAATCCAAATCATTAATATAGTACTCCACCCTCAGCACCTTCCCTCGACTACACCTTATTTGGAATGCCCTACCAGCTTCCAACAGCAACATTATGCCACAAAACTTATCCACAAGACATCTTGCTACTAATAAGAACCATTCCTCTTTCCCCCAAAACTCCAAATCCAAAAGAAATCTCCCCGATAAGCTCGATAAGCTCGAACTTCAAGGATGACCAAGAGAAATATCTTGAAGAGTGACATGAATGGAATGGGTATTGGCAAAAAACTCTAATGGCAATAAGCATTCCATACAAAAATTGAGGACATCTTACAAATCTTGATAGGTGTCTTTTGCCCATCTTAAAAATGTTGGAAAGATAGGAGGCATAATAGAGAAATAAAAGTACACTGGAATAAATGGGCTACGGAGAAACCATAGCCCATTGGGTCATCACCCTCCAATGAGATGCGCATCAACTGAGAGCATGGAACCCTACACTGGAGACAAGTCTTGCTCTGGTGGGTCCCTCTCTCTCTCTCTCTCTCTCCATACAAAAAAAAAACTACCGTCCACTATGGGATTCCTACCGGCCATTGAATTACAGTGTACTTTTCTGGAGGAGAAATTCACATCAGTTAAGAACTTCACCAAAAAATATTCATAATTAGTGCTATCAATATTGCACCAGATCTAGGCCCCTCTTTACATTGAAGTCAATATATATTTATCATTCTTCGCAATCTTTAGACTATACAACTGATACCGAAGTTACGATTTTCCTTCCACTTAAAGTCAATTATATGGATAATGAAAGGCCCTATAGGAGCTAAACCACTGATTTCACCTATTGCAGAAATCATTTATATATAGTAGCTGATGCATATACTTAATAAATGGACATTCTGTTCCTACTATGATTGAGAATGGATCACCTTAATGTACAAAAAGCATATATAAATACTTTATAAGACAACCACTACGATAACAGTTTTTCAAACAAAATTGCAACGCAAGTAATGAGTTATTAAAAACACCTTTATGCATTTATTTAGTTTTGTTGGCACAAGAAGTGTACAAGCTGGCTATCATTGTTGAAAGATATGAAAGCAGTTCCAAACAAATTCATGAATCCAGAATATTGACATGTTTCAATGAGCATGGCAAACAAATAATACAATTGATTCAATTGGTCTAAGAAGGGTAAGGACCTTAAACTTTCCCTTAACCTGTCCCATGCCGAAGTAAAAGGGCTGAGTTGGGTTAGGTAGGCAGCCATCGTAATACTTTGCCAAAACTTATCATCGCCAAGCCAACCCCAATTAGTTCGGAAAAAGCTTTGACAACTTTCAAGGTTAGAAGATATCCAACCTTACAAAGTTTTACAGAACTTCAACCAGTGATTACCAAAAGTTGCAAGCAGTCTTTAAGAATATGTTATGACCCTCCACCAACAAAAGAATTCGAGTCTACCTCCACAAAAATTGTACCTTCACACAAAACAATGAGAATATGAAGAAATTGTGTCGAAAAGAAATGTAAAGGGCAACTAAGTAAAGTTCAAATACTCAGCAGGCATGCCACTTAAGGGGGATCATACTATTATGTCATATAACATCCATTAGGGTCATCACCATCCAATGAAATTAATAGAGCTGGAGAGCAAGTGGGGCCAACCAGAACAGGGCAAGTTACCCCAATTCTATATCCATCACTGTCTATTTTATCAGACGGCAGACAATGGTTTTCCATGGCCCATTGGCTTTTAGTATGCTTACCCCATAAAATATTGACTGATAAAATAGCAAAGATATACTCACTCTAAGCTCCAAAGTATTGAATCAAGTCATCCTCCAATGAAAAGTCAAGATCAGCTGCCTCTAGTGACCCCGTGTCTCCAATACCAAAATCAAATGGGCTATGGAACCCATATACTAACGAGAGGTCATGCATTGGTGAGCCAAACCGGCTCTCAACAAGCTTATCTGGCTCACTGTGGAATGCATCCTTAACCAGAGGGTTTACATCTCCTACAATCTCATGGGTTCTACCCTCTAATGTCAAAACATGGCCAAAAACTTGATTCTCGTCACGAATTTCTCCACCGTCTTGCCTGAGATCATGGCCACCATTAACCATTTGCATTTGTGATTGAGCATGAGAGAACCCATATCTTCCAGGTGAGCTATCATAAGCTGGAAAAGTAGCCTTTGTGTGCAAAGATGTATTGGGTGCACCAGCAAATAATAATGGCTGCCCCTTAACACTCATGCTACGGGCCACAATATTTGCAGAGGCCATGCCAGAAAATTCGCCGGGAACATTGTGAAACTGAGAATCTTGCAATTGGTGAGGAAGTTGTGTAGGATCTTCAAGAGGCAATGGAGCCGAGCCCAATTGAATATTTTGAGGGGGAGGCTGTACTGAGATTGGCTGTGCCTCCATAAGATTCATGTCTGGAATAACATTTCGAGGCACCCCATCCTGAGATTCCTCAAGAGGCAAAGGTTCATGTTGATTAACAGGAGTTGAGCTCGTCCGAGGCCTCTTCCTCCTTGCCTCTTGTGGAGAAGGCTCTTTAGCATGAAACTCTTGGTGCAGGCGCTTCTCATTTTCCCTAGAATCACCTTTTTCTAAGCAAGTTTCTCTATCATCCTTTGAAGCCTTCCCATTATCTTTGGAGGAAACAGAACAAGGTTCATCTTCATATCCATCAACATCATACTCACTATTGCTACAAGCTTCAGCCTCTTTTCTCTCACTAAAAGCAGGAGGAGTCCCAGTCTCTGAGACCCCAGATGAGCCATTCTCATTACTAAGCTGATGGATAGTCCCTTCCTCTTTGTTCAAAACTCCCAACCAAATCGAGCTCTCTTTAGCAGTCATCTTATCTTGCAAGCATTTTGATTGCCTGACATGCTTCTTAATCTTTGCGATATTGGGGGACATGTGTTTTATAACAGCAGTGAGAACCCCAACTTTCCAGACCTTTTTCAGGTCATGGGGCTTCCTATAAGGAGGTGGATCTAAACGTTTTGATAATCCCAATTCACTCCACCACTCCTCATTCCCCAAGGGCCACCATGGTGGGGCAACTCCCTTCTCTAATGGAAACTTCCTTTGTGGCGGGTCACAGTGTTGCATTAACGATGACAAAAGAGAGCCTAATGTAGTGTCTTGAAGGTCTTGAAGGCTATTGAAACCCCCTTTGTTATCAGCTTTCCCCGCCGAAAAGTTCTCAGCCTCGTACTTTGCTATAGCAGCAGGACCATTCTTGTCAAACTTCACTTTCTCTTTCCACCATGCCCTTATGTTATCAGAGGCCCCACTTACTGGTTTTCCCTTCTCAGGTATGATTCCATAGACAAAACCCCGAGCTTTGCAGACCTCCATGAGCTTTAACATGTACTTCAGAATACCATCTTGGGCTCTTGACATTTTCTTCCTTCGAGCCTGATCAGAGGTTTGCTTTTGTTTTGGCTTCTCAGCTTGTTGAGCTGCAGCCTTTTGGCGCTCCTTAATTCTTTGGAGTTTTATTCGATCCTTCCACATACGCTTCTCTAATTCATCTGGTTCTATCTCTTCATCACTAACTTCATTCTCAGCTAAATTATCAACCCTAATATCATCAACTTCCATGTCGGATCCATCGCCAAACTCATTGGCAATCATGGCAAGTTGATCCATCACAAGATATACTTAAAAAACACCCCAAATCCAACTCTCTCTCTCTCTCTCTCTCTCTCTCTCTCTCTCTGTGTTCTTGGGAGAGGCTTTTTCTCGAAGAGTACCTTTTCTTAGACTGAAACTTCCTGTTCAGACTTGAGAGAGTCGTCAGAACCAGTTTTCCCCCAGTCCATTCTCTTGTAGGCTATATATGTTTCTGTTCTTCTCGAGAATGAAGTGAATTTCATGAATCTCAAACCCAATTACTTCCTTTCATAGAAAGCTGAAACCTTTCTATGTCATGTTAATGTCAAGAACTACCATCCAAATTCAAATCAACCAATTGAATACAAACGTTGAAATAACACCTAAATTCATTTTTCCCTGTAAAGTCAGACTAACAAGTTCTTCTTCTCCTTCTGGTGATTCTCTAAACGCTACCTTAATGAATTTTTAGTCAATCAACGGTCCTTCTGAACAGAGATTTGAAACAATTCTAGAGCCAAGAAAATTCAATTTCTTTCTCTGATAATTTGGGGGACCATTATTATTCCCCACAAAACACTTGAAGACGAAAACCCAAAAGAAAAAAGGCCCCAAAAAACACAAACTCAGCCCTTAATCAGGAAAACCCAATTCAAAAACTGATACAGCCAGGAAAACCCAATTCTCAAAACCCTAACTGAACCATTCCAATTGCGTAAAACCCAAACTGCCAAAAAAAAAGAAAAAAAAGGAAAAACACAAACAAAGAGAACCACAAATGAGGAGGCAAGCAAAATCACTTGAATCGAAAGATTTGCTTACCCATTCATGAAATGAAAAAACCTTTCTCCGATGAAATTCACAGGGGCCTGGTAATAGGTAGGCCTATAAACCCTAGAAATAAAATCAAATGAAGTTTACGGGTTGGATTTTCAAGGGCCAGATACGCAGTCGACTAAAAAGGCAAGAACGAGTAATTGGGTTCATGGAACGTGACGAGAGGAAAAATTCGCGGTCAACTTTGGAAGATAGTAATATTTGCTATCTGCACCATGATTTTTTGTTTTTTCACACCCAAAACATGTGTGGCAATATGGCAGCACAAGTCATATACGCATGGGTGTGAATAAAATCCCCTCATTAATAAAATGAAAATCGGAAGAGCCGCCATGAGAGAAAGCGATTCCTGTAGGCCACAATCTTCAACTGATCAATGATCAATGATTTTGGTTCTATAATCACGAATTTCTGTAGAAAAGAGTGATACAAAGTTGGAAATTCTTCCGATTAAATTCGTGACTAGAGGTGTTGATATGTATGAAAAATTGCATGACGTGGGTTTGACCGCATTTCTACATACACAGTCCAGAACGTGTAAAGCATCAATCACAAAGATAAATGCAGATTGGTGTTTCATTTAAAAATAATAGAAATTAAATGTCCTAATGTTTTTTTATAAAAATTATTATTTTTATTTTTTAAATTTATTTATTTATTCATATTCATGATCTCCATGTTAGAGATTATATATTTTTTAAAATTAAGTCTTAAAATTCATCACAAAAATAGATTTATTAAGAGACCCGCATTTCTACATGCGGGCTTCGCTCCATAGAAATCGGGTACTTCATGTATTTATAGATCTGCACTATTTTCAAAATTTTAAATTTTATAATTTAGGTTGAATATGGATTTTCACGCCATCGTAAGGTTTCTGACTTAGAAAATACACCTTCTGGAATAATTTAGAGGTACATCTTATTTGTATAGTATATAAGGTGGGCACCTTATACAAACATATTCATATAAAAATGTTTATCTAGATTTTCTATTTTTAAAATTTTCAACTTTTTATGGATATGCTTAATATTTATCTGTTTTTTTTTGGGTAATTAAGTGGGGAAGACGTACCCCTACCCGTTCTTTTTATAGATTAGGAGTTACATTTTTTAAAGTGTTAGTAAGGTGGTGGTAGTGGTAAGAATGAAAACAACTAGATGTGGGGATGCTACCACCATAACCCTAGCCCCTTTCCCAATTTGTTTCGTATATGGAGCTTTAAATTTCATAATTAGGAGTTAAAATAGATTTTCATGCCATCATAACCATTTTCAACACCAAAATTACATCTTTTATTTGGATTTGGAAGTGATTTTTACTTTGATATCACCCCTTAGTGATTGTAGTTCTTGTATAGTGGAAGGGAATTTATAAAGGAAAAGTGTTTTGTGCACCGGGGGATGCAATTCTACGTGAGTATGCCCTCCCACATCAAATATCAATATTAAATATGGATTTTAAAAAAATGGTGATCCCACCAAATCTTAGAATTAATGGTGTAAAACAAGTACATTCACAAATATTATTTTAATTTTTAATTTTTTTATATTCATATTCATCATGGTATAGATGAGAAAAGACGGAGAGATTTATAACTTCACTAACAATATGACAAATCAATATTCGTATAGCCTACCCCAATTAATTGAAAAAATATTCTAATTATAATAATGATGTTCACCATATGTTATAGATGTTCAACTCCTAAAGCATTGATCCAAAATCCATCTCTAACATAGATTACTTATCTAAAAGGAAACGTTTCTAGGATCCCTATAGAGATTTAATATTCAAGGCAAATATCCACGACCAATGGGCAATAGTATGTGAGTCAATAACAACGTCAAGTACTACTATTTTGTGAGGATTTTATTAATATTAATATTATTATTGTTGTTGTTCATTATTATTACAAATACTATTGTCACTAACTATTGTTTGATTCTCCAAACATATTAATTATATAAATTTGAATCATTATAACTCATTATAAGTAAAAAACATGGGTTTCAACCAGTGGTTTAAAAAACGGATCGGTGCCCCTGATCGAAAATCCCAAAACCTATCCGGATCGATAAATCGGTGATTCGGATTGGAAATCGGGTGGATTAAGCTATAAAAAAATCTAAAAAAATTATTAAAATTCATTATAAATGTTTTTTTTCAAAAGTCCAAAAAGAAAACAGAGTACTACATTATTAATTTTTATTTTTTTCATCAATATGTGAATATTGAGTTTTTTTTTTTCTGTATGAACTTATTTTAACAAATATACTTGTTGTATTTTTTACAAAAATAAGAAATTAATTTTTTTTGACAAAAATATGAACTTATTTTAACAAAAATAAGAAATGAGTTTTTTTTGACAAAAATACTTGTATTTTTTTTTATAAAAACTTTTTATTTTTTTGACAATAACTTTTTATTTTTTATTTTTTTGACAAAAACCTTTTATTTTTTTTATAACAAAAAGAATTGATAAGAACCTTTCATTTTTTTTATAAGAAACTTTTTATTTTATAGATAAGAAAAAAAAAATGACAAAAAGCGAAATTGATAAAAACCTTTTATTTTTATTTTTTAGAAAAATCCTTTAATTTTTTTGATAAGAAAAAAATTTGACAAAAATTTTCATTTTTTTTATACAAAACTTTTTATTTTATTGATAAGAAAAAAATTTGACAAAAAGCTAAATTGATAAAAACCTTTTATTTTTATTTTTTACAAAAGCTTTTAATTTTTTTGATAAAAAATAATTTGACAAAAAAAAAAGGAGAAAAAAAATATTGATAATAAGAAAAAATATGACAAAAAGAGAAATTGATTAAAAACCTTTTATTTTTATTTTTTACAAAAAATTTTAATTTTTTTTATAAGAAATTATTTGACAAAAAAAAAGGAGAAAAAAAATTTATTGATAAGAATTTTTTTTGACAAAAAGAAAAATTGATAAAAAAAACCTTTTATTTTTATTTTTTACAAAAAGCTTTTAATTTTTTTGATAAGAAAATAATTTGACAAAAAAAAAAGAAGAAAAATTTTATTTATAAGAAACAAATTTGGAAAAAAAACCAAATTGATAAAAACCTATTATTTTTATTTTTTTACGAACAAAACCTTTAATTTTTTTTATAAGAAAATAATTTGACAAAACAAAAAGAGTAAAAAAAAAAAAAAGGTTCCGCACAATGGGAGGAATCAAACCCGCATCCTCCTCACAATGAGGACACACAATAACCGGTATAACACTTACAACTTAGCATTTATAAAACCGTTAAACAAAATATATAATATATGAACATTTTAAGGTATTATCTCTTCACATTGTCCCATGTCGAAGAGAGAGAAGCAAATTTATATGAATAAATAGTCCCATGTGCGTGTTAAGTAATGAGATTATGCGAAGCATGTGGTTCATGAGCACACGTATGCCCCGCGAAGGGTACGGACCCTTGGGCTCCTGGTCAAGGAATTTTACAAAAATACCCAATTTTTGCTTAAAAATTCCTCAAATTTTACAAAAATACCCTTTGAATGTAAAAGAGTGGGCGGATCCTGACGTGAAGAACTAGATTTACTACGCAAAATCGCCCGTTCGTTCTAGAACCGGGCGATTCTCGATTTTACAAAAGAACCGACACGGGATGACCAATTCTCGATTCAAATAGGCCGATTTCGTGCCAACTCGACGATTTTTAAAACTCTAGTTTCAACCATCCAAGCCAACTTAGTGACTCTCAAGGACAATAAAAATATGTACTTAGTTTGAAAAGAATATTAGGTCCAAAATAGCAATCTAATGGGAGATAATTAGTGAAATTAAAAAATATTTTGATATTTTATATTTTATGTCCATAATGTTTTTTTTTTTTTCTCTCTCTCGAAATGCACCCAAATTGGAACTAACAATTTTGAATTGGTGTACTTATCGGAAAAGCTTTCTATGTTCCCCCTACAACATAGAAGTTCTATGTTCCCCTTATTCAACCGTCCATTTTTTAATGGAGAGCCAATATTGCTCCAATCACTATGTCACATCTCTACACTATTTTATTTTTAATTTTTTTTCTATAAACTGTTTTGACACCAAATTTTGGGCGTCCATTCCTATATTAAACTCGCACTAACGAAAAATATATAAAAAAAATATTTTCAATAATATAAAATGACCAAAATACCCTAACAAGTTTCAGGGGTATTTTGGTCATTATTTTTTATCTAAAAATTATTATTAATATTTTTTTATAGGTGCACCCCAATGAGAAAATAGCATGTACAAAATTTCATATTTAAAAAAATTGTATTAAAAAAACTAAAAAAAAAATACTGTGAGACATCATATCTAAGATTAAACGATGAGTAGTTCTTGATAAAAAATGTAGGGCTGGATGATAGTGGAACACAGAACTTCTATGTTATAAGGGGTACATAAAAAGCTTTTACGTACTTATCACCCTGCTGGACCTACTTGGGGATGTATTCATGTGCAAAACACCTATACGGAACTAGTAATTCCGAAACAGTGACCTTATCACTGGTTCCAAACCATTGCCTTTGTGTTACAAATACGAAAACAGGTAACCCACCGGTTGGGAACAACTAGTTTTGAGCTAGGTATTTTGTCAGCAGAAAGACTGGCTTGGAACTACCTGTCCCGAAAAAGCACTAAAGGCATTGTCTTAGAATTGCTAGTTCCACTATGCTTTTTTTGGGAAAAAAAAAGAAAAAAAGAAATATAAATGTAAAAAGATTGTATACAATGAGATCATTTACCTTAGATACAAAAAAGTCACAATTACTTATAACTATTTGATGTGAAATCTGATAGCTTAGGTGTATTATAAAGTTCGAAAAAAATTCTTTTAACCTTTGAGCTTGGTCAATGAAATAATTGCAACTACCCAATTTCAATACTAATTGTCAAAATTAATTGTGAACATCTTGTACTAAGGTAAATAGTCATATTATATACTTTCCCAAATGTAAAATATAATATGGTATGAGAATGATTTCATGTCATTGTGTCATTAGAATATAATGTTACTATACTTCTAGAAATTTATGTTTGTGAAATTTGTATGATTAAAAAAACTGCACACACCTTCTTTTCATCCCCATAATCAATCCTCAAAAAGTCAAAATTCAACTTATATCCTAAATGCGTTCAAAATGGATCCTACCCCTCCCCCCTCCTCAACAATGAATCTAGACCATTCATTTAATGAATTTCAAGATATAAGCCTTCATGAACTCAATTGCAACTTTTTCTTCTTTAACATTGCTCATCTCATAATAATAAAAATCATAAAAAATAAAAAAATTGAAAAGAAAAAAAACCTTTTAATGCTTAAATTTAAGTATCTCACCAAAATGAACGTCCTATATTAATTGAGCTAAAAAATATATTTTTTGATGTGTGCTTTCAACTTTTTTTTGTGATTGTTTATAAGAATAAAAATAGTGTATATTTAAAGTAACTATGTATATTTTGAAAAAATAACTATGTATAACCTGCAAAACTCCGCAAGTCCATTTTGTGAATGCTAACAATCCTAAAACAGCACGTCTGTTAGGTCTCTCTCTCTCTCTCTCTCTCTCTCTCTCTCTCTCACACATCAAGTTTCGATACTCTTAGGACCATAGACTTTACATGGTCATTTTTTTTGTGAGATTTGAAGTGTTTCTTACCTTTTCTCCAATAAGGCCTAGTCTCTGTGCTAAACTTTATTTTAAAACCTAGTCCTTATGCTATCCTCCTAGGCTACTTCATCTCAAAGTAGAGGGATGAAGGGTTGTGATCTCACCTTGGATAACTTCATCTCATAGTACGGGGATGAAGGGCTGTGATTTCATCTTAGGAAGTTTAGAGGAAGCACATAAAAGGGATTGGATCGCCCTCTAAAGGCAAGCAAAGGGTGGAAGAGATGTGTTACTGAAGGAATATGTGTATGGGACACATATGGGGTCCTCATTGGCTCCATACTTAAATGACATCAGGGAAAAATATGGTACACATACATAACATACCATTCAAAAGAAATTGGCATGCATACATCACCATATGAAAATCATCATTTATACAGGGCCCATGATTTATATACATATATTTTATGTACACAAAACCTTTGTGTGCACATCCATCTTAGCCATCCATACGAGCATAACAACACTCGAACCAGGTTCAAACTTGTGCTCACATTCATCTTAACCACTCATCAAGGCATGACAACCACTTAAATCAGCATTAAAGGAACTCTGTTAGTACTTCCAAGTAATGAAATTAAAAAAGCAGCTCCACTTATTTCTCACTAGATCTCAAGCTTTATTGTAATTTCATTCTCTCTTTTATATCATCATGAAATACAAGAACAAAAAGAAGGGAGATACAGATTATCTATTAGTGAGAGCAGCTCAAGTGTGGTCCTTTCTAATGATTTATAAATATAATAAGAAAATAAGTTATAAAAAGGGAAAAATGGGGTAGTGATCCTCATTTAGACCTTATATTTTCATCCTTCATAGCAAGGGCAAGAGGTGGGAGGCTGCTCCCAACCTCCAAAGTGACACGTGGCATAACCACAGCCCTAGATCCCACTACCCCATCTTCCCCAACAATGATTTTCCCAAACTTGACCCTCCCCTCCTCCCCTTCATAAATATGACCAAAGAGCATTGCACCTCTGCCTATGCATCCCCCCCTCTCTATCTCCACCATGTCAGGGTTCAACAATGCCTCCATACTATCCACATAAACCCCATCTCTCCATTCCACTTTTGCCCCTAGTAGCCTCATCCATGCCCCAAAAACCATAGACCCACTAGTTATCTCCATGAAATACTCACCCATGACAGTCCTAATTGCCTGCCATATTGTGTCCAGAAACACCTCCATACCCCACAAATGTATGGTTTTTTCCTCCCTTTGTCTCCCCACCAGAACCCATTTGGCCAAAACACACAGCAGCCCACCCAAAAGCCCTGAAAACACTAGAAACAAAGGCAATAGCAATTGCAAGGGCACAACTCTAGCTTGGTGAACATAGCCCAAGAACCTCAAGGGCGTCCACATTCCCAACCCAAGTAGAGCATAGGGTACACCAACTTGGACCAATGGCTGCCCTAGCAAAGCCCAAACAGACTGGACCCAGGTCCTTGCCACTGCCGGTTTACCAGCCACCGGATAACTGGCAGTTCCGGCCATCGGGCACCCAGAGAGATCAACTTTCGCACCCGATTGCTCCAAAAAGCCTCTCCAGGACTCTGGCAATGGCTCAGCATTCCTCAGACGCTGGCAAATCTCGTACACGAGTGAGCGCCCATGGTCTATACTCGCGCTCTCAGTGCAAGAGCGCGCCGGGACTACATCTAGGTCGGGGCGGCGGAGATATGGGTTGAACTCGATCTGCTCAGCCTCCTGAGCACCCAGTGCCTCATCCAGTATAATGATGCCCAGGTCCACATATGGATGCTCCTCTGGGTCCCATGGCCTGGTGCAGTCAAGCACCCTCTCACGCTCCATTCTGTTGGTAGGAACTACCTGCACTTGTGCTTGAAGGATGTAGCGAACCCCGCCATCCCCTGCAACTCGTGCCTTAAAATCGTCAGCTAGAAACAGTGGGGGCCTGTCATCCCCATCATCTCTGGGGATAGCTCCAGTCTCAGGAGGAAGGACCCGACCCTCTGGGTCCACCTTTCCAGAATCCTCTCCAATTCTGACATCTTCTGGACGGAGCTTGAACTTTACAAAGCGATCGACACCATCTAGCCCTCTAAATGATCTGCAAAAGTTTGAATAGTAGTGCAACTCAGCATAGGATGTGGCCCGTCTAAGCGAGCCCCAGACTGCATCACGAACATGAGGCTCTCTCTCTACTTGGGCCTCTCTTGCCTTGACCCCGCACACTAGCCAAGTGGCAAAATCACCAATGGTTCGAGCATAAAAGGCCTTTCCAGTTTTTAGAGTAAGATCCAATAGTGGGTTCCCCTCGCTATCCATGATCCTTATTCCAGCCCCACGAGCATCAATCCTTGCATCATCATCTGCACTCAAGCTGTTGCTATGCCGGATAAGGACTGGAAAACTTTTTCCGGTAGAGAAAACGGCATGCTCAGGAAAGCCCTTGAGATCCTTGAACATTTCCAAAGTGCCCTTGGCAGCGACACCAATTCGGTGGAAATATCTTGACTTGACCTTCAAAGTAGTAGTTGCTAGGTTGGCAGCAAGGTTTCCAAGGACTTTTCGGTACTTAGGATCCATCTCTTGGATACGATCATCGACTTGTTGGAGAGTATTCTTCACCATGACAGGATTCTGACCCACGTAGACCCCACCTCTCTGTAATACTGACTTCACAGGTGCAGTCGACAGGGCCCCTAGAACCACTTCTTCTTGTAAGCACGAACCAGGAAGGACCAAGCTCATGCTTCCAATAACGCATCTTTCGTTCACTTCTACATTGCCAAAGCAATAGCCAAGCTTCGAGTAAAACCCAGTAAGGATTTTGCAAAAATCACCGAGATGGACAAAGTCACAGAGCTTCAGCAATCGTGGATCTGAAATGGGATTGATGGCCCTGATCGAGCAATCTTGGCCAATGGATGCTCCAAGTGAGCGGAGGTATACACAGAAGGCTTCAGTGCCTGAGAGCAGCTTGGCAAATCGGAGATGGGTGGAGGTGGTTATCCGATGAAGAAGCCATGATTTCCAGCAACATAGCTTGTATTCGGGATTTCTGGTGAGAAGGTGGGTGGCTAAGCAAGTGACGAGAGAGAGGATGAGAGCATAAGCTATGTAGGCAGAGGAGAGTAAAAGGGCAAAGGAGGTCGAGCTTAATGCAGGTAGGGCTTGGGATGGGATGAAGGCGAAAAATGCAGCAATTATGGCCGGCGGCCAGTGAAAAGCTCCAGCTATGCAGACGAAGAGGAAGATTTGAGGGGAGATATCAATGTGATTGGGATTGAAGAGAGTAAGGAGAGTGTATGCAGTTGCTGCAGAGAGAGCACCCAAGAAGCCCACTGTGTAGATGCCCATGAAGTGGAACAAGGTTGAGACCTTGGTAGGTGGGGTGCCTATAAATCCTTCGGTGAGATCCTGGTCCTGCAAATGCATATGTCCAGAAGTACGTCAGAGTGTACATTAGGTAATAATAGACTAATAGTCATTTCAGGAAATGTTGAGCGCTTTTGTCATTTTGTGAGAAAGTGTGAATTGGGCATTAATGTCATCCATGGGAGATATGTTGATGTGTTTTTGTTGTATTGGAATGACATTTTTGCGAATCATGGATAGAAAAGTGTGATAATAAAACACACCCAGAAGGAACGACCAAGATCTCTCTCTCTCTCTCTCTCTCTCTCTCCATCCAGTCTGTGCTGCGGAGCCCAAGATTCTTCCCCAGAGGGAAAGAGTGTTTTTGCAAGAGACCAATTTAAAGAACAGGATAATTGGATCTTTCATATTTAACACAGGTGAACACACAAGAACACACAGACACACACACAGCGCACGGGTATGGCATGTGACACATTCAAATGGATTATGGAAGAAGAGAGATTCCCAGCACAGGCTTCTTAGTCCCCAAATTTTTCTTCTTCATCTTCTCGATGTAGAGCATTTTTTGAGCCCCTTCGAGGGTTTTTTTACAAAGCACCCAAGCTCTAGGCAGCCTATACTTTTGTAGTTTATCGACTACTTCAATATAACAGTCAACAATTTAAAAAAAAAGGCGAGATTCCCAGCACAAACGAGAGAGAGAGAGAGAGAGAGAGAGAGAGAGAGAGAGAGAGAGAGAGAGAGAGAGAGAGACGACTACGAGAGAGAGAGACGACGTACGTACGTACGTACGTAGTAGAGAGAGAGAGAGAGAGAGTAGTAAGTAGTACGACGAACTAACTAAC